AGGGGGAAAAAAGTATTTGATCCCCTGCTGATTTTGTACGTTTGCCCACTGAGAAAGATATGATCAGTCTATAATTTTAATGGTAGGTTTTATTTGAACAGTGAGAGACAACAAAAATCCAGAAAAACACATGTCAAAAATGTTATAAATTGATTTGCATTTTAATGAGCAAAATAAGTATTTGACCCCCCCCTCTCAATCAGAAAGATTTCTGGCTCCCAGGTGTCTTTTATACAGGTAACGAGCTGAGATTAGGAGCACACTCTTAAAGGGAGTACTCCTAATCTCAGCTTGTTACCTGTATAAAAGACACCTGTCCACAGAAGCAATCAATCAATCAGATTCCAAACTCTCCACCATGGCCAAGACTAAAGAGCTCTCCAAGGATGTCAGGGACAAGATTGTAGACCTATACAATGCTGGAATGGGCTACAAGACCATCGCCAAGCAGCTTGGTGAGACAGTTGGTGCGATTATTCGCAAATGGAAGAAACACAAATGAACTGTCAATCTCCCTCGGCCTGGGGCTCCATGCAAGATCTCACCTCGTGGAGTTGCAATGATCATGAGAACGGTGAGGAATCAGCCCAGAACTACACGGGAGGATCTTGTCAATGACCTCAAGGCAGCTGGAACCATAGTCACCAAGAAAACAATTGGTAACACACTACGCTGTGAATCCTGCAGCGCCTGCAAGGTCCCCCTGCTCAAGAAAGCACATATACAGGCCCGTCTGAAGTTTGCCAATGTACATCTGAATGATTCAGAGGAGAACTGGGTGAATGTGTTGTGGTCAGATGAGACTAAAATCGAGCTCTTTGGCATCAACAACTTGCCGTGTTTGGAGGAGGAGAAATGCTGCCTATGACCGCAAGAACACCATCCCCACCGTCAAACATGGAGGTGGAAACATTATGCTTTGGGGGTGTTTTTCTGCTAAGGGGACAGGACAACTTCACTGCATCAAATGGACAATGGACGGGGCCATGTACCGTCAAATCTTGGGTGAGAACCTCATTCCCTCAGCCAGGACAATGAAAATTGGTCGTGGATGGGTATTCCAGCCTGACAATGACCCAAAACACACGGCCAAGGCAACAAAGGAGTGGCTCAAGAAGAAGCACATTAAGGTCCTGGAGTGGTCTAGCCAGTCTCCAGACCTTAGTCCCATAGAAAATCTGTTGCGAGAGCTGAAGGTTCGAGTTGCCAAACGTCAGGCTCGAAACCTTAATGACTTGGAGAAGATCTGCAAAGAGGAGTGGGACAAAATCCCTCCTGAGATGTGTGCAAACCTGGTGGCCAACTACAAGAAATGTCTGACCTCTGTGATTGCCAACAAGGGTTTTGCCACCAAGTACTAAGTCATGTTTTGCAGAGGGGTCAAATACTTATTTCCCTCATTAAAATGCAAATCAATTTATAAAATTTTTGACATGCGTTTTTCTGGATTTTTTTGTTGTTATTCTGTCTCTCACTGTTCAAATAAACCTACCATTAAAACTATAGACTGATCATGTCTTTGTCAGTGGGCAAACATAAAAAACAAGCAGGGGATCAAATACTTTTTTCCCTCACTGTAAATCCTATTTCTCCACTCCTTTTACTGAGTCAAAATGTACATTTTGTATATATTGTTACTGCAAAAAATGCTGAATTCTGCAGGAGTTAACATTAACTTAGGCTATGTGAGAGGTTATAGACCTACAGTCAGTATCCAGATTTCAGTTAGGCTACTATTAGATTAAACCCATCTGAACAGTACAGTTCCCTTGGCGTGCCAAGACCCTGTCATCACACACAACATAGTGGCACTGCTATCATCCTCTTTTACCACTTCACCAAATCTTTCCCAAACGTTAGACTAGTGTTCTGGCCCTCACTTCTATTTATATTCATTTCCATTTCGCAGCTTTTGTCCTATTGAATTAAACTCTGATATTGTCCTTTTTGCTTCAGTGGATCGACGTGAACTTTTTTTGCACAAGTTCCTTAAAGGCAATTGGTGTGTATTTGCCGCTAAAGATTAGCCTACGCAGTAACGACAGATAAAAATAATGAAAGGAATCATCCTTGACATTTTTACAACTTGATTGGAGTCCACCTGTGGTAAATGCAATTGATTGGACATGATTTGGCAAGGCACACACCTGTCTATATAAGGTCCCACAGTTGACAGTGCATGTCAAGGCAAAATCCAAGCCATGAGGTCGAAGGAATTGTCCCTAGAGCTCAGAGACGGGATTGTGTCGAGGCAAAAAAATGTCTGCAGCATTGAAGGTCCCCAAGAACAGAGTGGCTTCCATCATTCTTAAATGGAAGAAGTTTGGAACCACCAAGACTCTTCTTTACAGCTGGCCGCCCTGCCAAACTGAGCAATCGGGGGAGAAGGGCTTCTGGCACCACACTCCCAGAGCCCTCACCTCCTCCTGGACTTGAACCCGATCGAACATCTCTGGAGAGACCTGAAAATAGCTGTGCAGCGACGCTCCCCATCCAACCTGACAGAGCTTGAGAGGATCTGCAGAGAAGAATGGGAGAAACTCCCCAAATACAGGTGTACCCAAGAAGACTCGAGGCTGTAATCGCTGCCAAAGGTGCTTCAACTAAGTACTGAGTAAAGGGTCTGAATGCTTATGTAAATAAGGTCTTTCAGTTTTATTTGTAATACATTTGCAGAACATTTGTTTTTGCTTTGTCATTATGGGGTATTTTGTGTGGGGGGGGAAGAAAAAAATGATTTGAATCCATTCTAGAATAAGGCTGTAACAAAATGTGGAAAAAGTCTAGGGGTCTGAATAGTTTCTGAATGCACTATAGATATGAATTGCACAACAATTATACATAAGTTGTAAGTTTACCGCATTTTCTCCCAAGTTTTGTGATATCCAATTCCTTCTTAACACACTGATCTCTTAACCCAGAACCCAGCCGCAACGTTTTTCAACAGAATTGGCGGAATGAAAAACCCCTGATCACCGTAAACACAGTTCACTTTCATAGCAGCCACATACCAACACCATTATCACTTTGCTCGTTGTAATTCCTTCCTGCATCTTCGCGCTCTCCTCCTCTCTCACTTTTTCCCTTTACTTGTGGACCTCAGTGCACAACACATCGGCTGTCTGTAACCAGGCGAAAAAACATTTCCATGCCAAGCCTTCATATCATAACCGCTACACACAGCCTACATCGTTGTCACCATATTATTTAACATCATAGTAGACATAGCTAATAGAACTAACGCATTAGCAAACCCTCCACAATCATGCAGTACAGTGTACTGACAGCAAGCACTTTAGCAGTTACACCGGCGGGCCCCGGTGGCAATAAATTTATACAACCAAAAGATTACCTTGACTTGGAAGAGTTCCAGTGTTGGATAGTCATAGCCAGATGACTAACATAGCGTCTCTCTCTGTTTTGAGCTGGGTGTTTTGAGTAGGCTTAACTAACTAGCTAGCTAGCTAGCTAAGTGAAAGTGAAAAAAAATACTATTAAATATACACGTGTTGTGGACACCCCTTCAAATTAGTGGATTCGGCTATTTCAGCCACGCCCGTTGCTGACAGGTGTATAAAATCGAGCACACAGCCATTCTATCGCCATAGACAAACATTGGAAGTAGAATGGCCTTACTGAAGAGTTCAGAGCTGCCTCGGTCAACTGTAAGTGCTGTTATTGTGAAGTGGAAACGTCTAGGAGCAACAACGGCTCAGCCGCGAAGTGGTAGGCCACACAAGCTCACAGAACGATACCGCCGAGTGCTGAAGCGCACAGTGTGTAGAAATCATCTGTCCTCAGTTGCAACACTCACTACCGAGTTCCAAACTGCCTCTGGAAACAATGTCAGCACAATAATTGTTCGTTGGGAACTTCATGAAATGGGTTTCCATGGCCGAGCAGCCGCACACAAGCCTAAGATCACCATGCGCAATGCGAAGCGTCGGCTGGAGTGGTGTAAAGCTCGCCGTCATAGGACTCTGGAGCAGTGGAAACGCGTTCTCTGGAGTGATGAATCACACTTCACCATCTGGCTGTCCGACGGACGAATCTGGGTTTGGCGGATGCCAGGAGAACGTTACCTGCCCGAATGCATAGTGCCAACTGTAAAGTTTGGTGGAGGAGGAATAATGGTCTAGGCCCCTTAGTTCCAGTGAAGGGAAATCTTAACACTGTAGCGTACAATGACATTCTAGATGATTCTGTGCTTCCAACTTTGTGACAACCGTTTGGGGAAGGCCCTTTCCTGTTTTTGCATGACAATGCCCCCATGCACAAAGCGAAGTCAATACAGAAATGGTTTGTCGACATCGGTGTGGAAGAACTTGACTGGCCTGCACAGAGCCCTGACCTCAACCCCATCGAACACCTTTGGGATGAATTGGAACGCTGACTGTGAGCCAGGCCTAATCGCCCAACATCAGTGCCCAACCTCACTAATGCTCTTGTGGCTGAATGGAAGCAAGTCCCCACTGCAATGTTCCAACATATATTGGAAAGCCTTCCCAGAAGAGTGGAGGCTGTTATAGCAGCAAAGGGGGGACCAACTCCATATTAATGCCCATGATTTTTGGAATGAGATGTTTGACGAGCAGGTGTCCACATACATTTGCTGTCTGAAAACCTTGTATCTCCCAAACTTTTCAGAAACTTGAAAAAACCGCCATATTTGACCATTAGTCTAACAGACAATAACACAACTTCAGAAACTATTTTGAATATATTTTATTGGTCCTAGATTCAGGAAAGCACATTGAGGGTAGTACATTGAGAGGGACTTAACTGCTTTCAGTTCCTCAAAAAAAGCATGGTTATGTGACCACTGGATGTACTGTTACTTTTCCAGTTTATGAGTGTGAAAATATGGTAGTCTCAGCCATCAGTATATTATCAGAAAAAAGATTGGATAGTTTTAAGCATGTTCTGCAGACCTATACCAAAAGCTTAACATTTTTGTTTTCTCATCCACACTGACTGTGTTTGTACTGTTTGTTCCACAGAGTGAAGACACAGAACAACAAATCATCAGAGAAACATTTCATCTGGTATCCAAAAGAGATGAGAACGTCTGCAATTTCCTAGAAGGTGGAATGTAAGAGATTTCTTTAAGATGTCGTAAACTGTCCACAAGTACTGAAAACCATAACCCCCCACGTGCTGGACCCTATTGATGTAGAAGGCTTTATCTTAACATTTCCTGCTCATGTAACAATGAAATGCATAATCTTTCAATTTCATGTACATATATACAACTGCTACAAACCAACGATTTGATCTGATGATGTGGGCTGCTCAACAAAACGCTCCATGAGTAGAATCAGCTTTTCATGATGCAATATCACATGACACATTGCACTACATGGGAGAGCTAAGGGACAGAGGGGGAGCCTGGTATCAGATGGTGGCCAGCTGTAGGGAGAGAAATTGGATCATCATGAATAGTTAAATATGAATTCATCATTCATGAAGCAGGCTATTGCGTTGTGGAACCTCCTCTCACACAACAGAGGATAATACAATTGGGGTGTATTCATTAGTGCACACTGTAGCAAAATGTTTTGCAACGGGGAACGTTTTGCTTTGAGAATTAGCCTTTCTTATTGGACAAGTTCAGGTTAGTCTCCCTCTGTTTCGGCCCGTTTGCTTTTTTCTGTTTGGTTCCTAGTGAATACACCACTGGGATCCCTGGTATATGATTGTTGCTACTGCTTAGGCTCATCAACAAATATGATGTTGCTCAAGCAGATTCAGGTCAACGTGTTTTTGCCTTACAAATATTGTTCAAGGCTTCTGTACTTGGCCTGGACACGTGACCAAGTCAATCTATTGGACAAAACAGTCTGCTGACCCTTTTACTTGTTCATCATACCAGCATGTTTGGCTTTGTTTCACATACCAGCATGTTTGGCTGTGTTTCACATTATAGAATGTGTGTGTTGGGTAATGAACATGACACGGTACTATCCCATGCATTGATTGGTGTCATGTGAGTGTGTTCCCCTTGTCGTGTGGACTGTTGTTCCGATGTAGAGGTGAAGTACTAGGACACAGTGCTGCTGAAGTGTCAGTTTGTAGTGTAAGCACACAGGGCAGATGGCTTGTTGTTGCATTGATCTCTGTTAACCAACCTTGGCTCACTTCCACATGCATGCCAGTCTTCACAGATCCCAGGCAAATGCACACCAACTGGGGTGTATTTACTAGACACCAAACGGAAGCAAACGGGCTGAAACGAGCCAGAACCTACCTGAATTTGCCCAATAAATAACACCTTTTCATTGCAAAGGTTTTGCTACCGTTTGCGCTAATGAATACAACCCTGTTCAGAGAAGGTTTCAATTGTCCCTCCATTTTGTTTTTGTGTCGTTAGGTTGATAGGTGGGTCGGAGAACAAGCTCATCTACAGACACTATGCCACGCTCTACTTCGTATTCTGCGTCGATTCCTCTGAGAGTGAGCTTGGCATCCTAGACCTTATCCAGGTAATATTTCCAAAGTCTTTAAAACAATATATTGTTCAACTACGACCGTTTGGTACCACAATCTTAGTTTTTGGTGGACGGTAGATGATTACACTGTTCAGTGAATGTGATCGTCTCTCCACAGGTGTTTGTGGAAACGCTGGACAAATGCTTTGAGAATGTCTGTGAACTTGACTTAATTTTCCACGTGGACAAGGTACAGAATTATTTTATCAACTATATCCTATTATTTCACCCTTAATTTTAATATTTACTATACCAAGAATGTAAGAGTCAACCTTGCCCCAAACAGCTGCATTTAATGCTCACAATGAATGTGTGACTTCCCATAGAAACTCACTGTGCTATAGTGTCATTTGTTTACTATAAGGCTGTCTAGGTGAATTAATCTCCCCTGTCAAATCAAAGTTGGTCGCTTACACAGTTTAGCAGATGTTTTAGCGGGTGCATCAAAATGCTTGAATGCAGCGAAATCCTTGTGGAAACAGGGTGGCTGTGTCTCTCAGCGTCATCTTGATGATATCCCTGTGACAATGCTTCGACCCTGCTGGCTCTTGTCACAAGAAAATCTATCGTGAATGTCTAGCCAAGTGTGGCAGCGAAGCATGATATTAGACTTTTTGTACAGGTTGCAGCATTTCACGCACAGAGATGCCGTTGATATTCATGTGTACAGAGAGTAATATGAGCAAAGCGAAAGCGAGATAATTGTGACCGCAGCAATCTACTTAAACAAAACCGTTATATACTGAACAAAAATATAAACGCAACATGCAACAATTTCAACGATTTTACTGTTTTTTTTACTGAGAATAATAATGGTGCCGGAGAAGATGGCTGCCGTTTTACGGCCCCCCTAACCAATTGTGCTATTATGTGTGTTTTTTCGGATTATTTGTAATTTATTCTGTACATAATGTTTCTGCCACTGTCTCTTATGACCAAAAAGTGCTTCTGGATATCAAGACAGCGATTACTCACCTCGTATTGGATGAAATATTTTTTTCATCAACGAGATGCACGCAAAATATATTCTACAGACACCCGACAAGGCCCAAATCCCCATCATTCGCATGAGAAAGAGACGGAGATATCGTGGACGTAGGTCTGGGTGCCTTGTAAGGATCCGACGGCGAGCGAGTAATCTGCCTCTACCATCAGTCCTATTAGCCAATGTACAATCATTGGAAAGCAAAATAGACGACCTACGATCACGGATATCCTACCAACGGGACATTAAAAACTGGAATATCTTATGTTTCACCGAGTCGTGGCTGAACGACGACATGGATAACATACAGCTGGCGGGATATACGCTACATCGGCAGGATAGAACGGCTGACTCCGGTAAGACAAGGGGGGATGGTCTGTGTATATTTGTAAACAACAGCTGGTGCACGAAATCTAATATTAAGGAAGTCTTGAGGTTTTGCTCGAGGCTATCTCATGATAAGCTGTAGTCCACACTATTTACCAAGAGTTTTTATCTATATTTTTCGTAGCTGTCTATTTACCACCACAAACCGATGCTGGCACTAAGACTGCATGAGCTGTATAAGGCCATAAGCAAACAGGAAAACGCTCATCCAGACGCAGCGCTCCTAGTGGCCGGGGACTTTAATGAAGGGAAACTTAAATCCGTTCTACCTCATTTCTACCAGCATGTTAAATGTGCAACCAGAGGAAAAAAAACTCTAGACCACCTTTACTCCACACACAGAGACGCGTACAAAGCTCTCCCTCGCCCTCCTTTTGGCAAATCTGACCATAATTCTATCCTCCTGATTCCTGCTTATAAGCAAAAACTGGAGCAGGAAGCACCAGTGACTCGGTTAATAAGGAAGTGGTCAGATGACGCAGATGCTAAGCTACAGGACTGTTTTGCTAGCACAGACTGGAATATGTTCCGTGATTCTTCCGATGGCATTGAGGAGTACACCACATCAGTCACTGGCTTCATCAATAAGTGCATCGATGACGTCGTCCCCACAGTGACCGTACGTACATACCCCAACCAGAAGCCATGGATTACAGGCAACATCCGCGCTGAGCTAAAGGGTAGAGCTGCCGCTTTCAAGGAGCGGGACGCTTATAAGAAATCCCGCTATGCCCTCCGACGAACCATCAAACAGGCAAAGAGTCAATACGGGACTAAGATTGAATCGTACTACACTGGCTCCGACCCTCGTTGGATGTGGCAGGGCTTGCAAACTATCACAGACTACAAAGGGAAGCACAGTCGCAAGCTGCCCAGTGACACGAGCCTACCAGACGAGCTAAATCACTTCTATGCTCGCTTCGAGGCAATCAACACTGAAGCAAGCATGAGAGCATCAGCTGTTCCGGATGACTATCTGATCACGCTCTCCGTAGTCGATGTGAGTAAGACTTTTAAGCAGGTCAAAATTCACAAGGCCACAGGGCCAGATGGATTACCAGGACACGTACTCCGAGCATGCGTTGACCAACTGGCAAGTGTCTTCACTGACATTTTCAACATGTCCCTGACTGTAATACCATCATGTTTCAAGCAGACCACCATAGTCCCTGTGCCCAAGAACACTAAGATAACCTGCCTAAATGACTACCAACCCGTAGCACTCAGGTCTGTAGCCATGAAGTGCTTTGAAAGGCTGGTCATGGCTCATATCAACACCTTTATCCCAGAGACCCTAGACCCACTTCAATTTGCATACCGCCCCAACAGATCCACAGATGATGCAGTCTCTATTGTATTCCACACTGCCCTTTCCCACCTGGACAAGAGGAACACCTACGTGAGAATGCTATTCATTGACAACACTATAGTGCCCTCAAAGCTCATCGCTAAGGACCGTGGGACTAAACACCTCCCTCTGCAACTGGATCCTGGACTTCCTGACGGGCCGCTTCCAGGTGGTAAGGGTAGGTAACAACACATCTGACACGCTGATCCTCAACACGGTGGCCCCTCAGGGGTGCGTGCTCAGTCACCTCCTGTACCCATGACTGTGTGGCCAGGCACTACTCCAACACCATCATTAAGTTTGCCGACGATACAACAGTGGTAGGCCTGATCACCGACAACGATGAGACAGCCTATAGGGAGGAGGTCAGAGACCTGGCAGTGTGGTGCCAGGATAACAACCTCTCCCTCAACGTGATCAAGACAAAGGAGATGATTGTGGGCTACAGGGGAAAAAAAGAGGACTGAGCACGCCCACATTCTCATCAACGGGGCTGTAGTGGAATAGGTTGAGAGCTTCAAGTTCCTTGGTGTCCACATCACCAACAAACTATCATGGTCCAAACACATCAAGACAGTCGTGAAGAGGGCATGACAAAGCCTATTTCCCCAGGAGACTGAAAAGATTTGCCATGGGTCCTCAGATCCTCAAAGAGTTCTAGAGCTGCACCATCGAGAGCATCCTGACTGGTTGCATCACTGCCTGGTATGGCAACTGCTCGGCCTCCGACCGCAAGGCACTACAGAGGGTAGTGCGTACGGCCCAGTACATCACTGGGGCCAAGCTTCCTGCCATCCAGGACCTCTATACCAGGAGGTGTCAGAGGCCCTAAAAATTGTCAAAGACTGCAGCCACCCTAGTCATAGACTGTTCTCTCTGCTACCGCACGGCAAGTGGTACCGGAGCGCCAAGTCTAGGTCCAAAAGGCTTCTCAACAGCTTCTACCCCCAAGCCATAAGACTCCTGAACAGCTAATCACGGCTACCCGGACTATTTGTATTGTCCCCCCACCCCACTCCACCCCCTCTTTTACGCTGCTGCTACTCTGTTTATTATCTATGCATAGTCACTTTAACTCTACCCTCATGTACATATTACATCAATTATCTCGTCTCACCTGTGCCCCCGCACATTGACTCTGTATCGGTACCCCCTGTATATAACCTCCCTAGTGTTATTTTATTTTACTGCTGCTCTTTAATTATTTTAACTTATTACTTAACCAACCACTTGGGAGCCAGGCCCAGCCAGTCTGAATTAGTTTTTTCCCCACAAAAGGGCTTTATTACAGACATAAATACTCCTCAGTTTCATCAGCTGTCTGGGTGGCTGGTCTCAGATGATCCCGCAGGTGAAGAAGGCAGATGTGGAGGTCCTTGGCTGGTGTAGTTACACGTGGTCTGCGGTTGTGAGGCCAGTTGGACGTACTGCCAATTTCTCTAAAACGACGTTGGAGGCTGATTATGGTAGAGAAATGAACATTGAATTCTCTGGCAACAGCTCTGGTGGACATTCCTGTAGTCAGCATTCCAATTGCACGCTCCTTTAAAACATGAGACATCTGTGGCATTGTGTTGTGTAACAAAACTGCACATTTTAGTGGCCTTTTATTGTCCCCAGCACAATGCACCTGTGCAATGATCATGCTGTTTAAATAGCTTCTTGATATGCCACACCTGTCAGGTGGATGGATTATCTTGTCAAAGGAGAAATGCTTACTAACAGGGATGTAAACAAATTTGTGCACAACATTTTACAGAATTACGCTTTTTGTGCTTATGGAAAATTTCAGCAATCTTTTATTTCAGCTCATGAACCATGGGACCAACACTTTACATGTTGCGTTTTATGTTTTTGTTTAGTATAAATGTGAGTGTGTGATTTGTTAGTACATCCAATGTTTTGACAATAGATAGGGTTGCATGCATATCTCACATCAGGTCATTTGTTTTCAAGGGTTGTTGATCTCCTGTTCGCATTTGTTTAGCCTCTTTAATATGTAACAATGATAATAAATATGAAATAATCCTGTAGAGCAGGGTTTCCCAAACTCTGTCCTGGGGCCCCCTGGGTGCAAATTTGGGAAAACTTTTTCTCTACAGCAGGTTACAAATGTGTAAAAGGCACACAAAATAATCCCCCCTAAAACGTACAGTTGAAGTCGGAAGTTTACATACTCTAAGGTTGGAGTCATTTAAAACTCGTTTTTCAACCACTCCACAAATTTCTTGTTAACAAACTATAGTTTTGGCAAGTCGGTTAGGACATCTACTCTCTGCATGACACAAGTAATTTTTCCAACAATTGTTTACAGACATATTATTTCACTTACAATTCACTATCACAATTCCAGTGGGTCAGAAGTTTACATACACTAAGTTGACTGTGCCTTTAAACAGCTTGGAAAACTCCAGAAAATGATGTTATGGCTTTAGAAGCTTCTGATAGGCTAATTGACATAATTTGAGTCAATTGGAGGGGTACCTGTGGATGTATATCAAGGCCTACCTTCAAACTCAGTGCCTCTTTGCTTGACATCATGGGAAAATCAAAAGAAATCAGCCAAGAAAAAAATGGTAGACCTCGCCTGAAGGTTCTACTTTCATCTGTACAAACAATAGTACGCAAGTATAAACACCATGGTATCACGCAGCTGTCAAACCGCTCAGGAAGGAGACGCGTTCTGTCTCCTAGAGATGAACGTACTTTGGTGCAAATCAATCCCAGAACAACAGCAAAGGACCTTGTGAAGATGCTGGAGGAAACAGGTACAGAAGTATCTATATCCACAGTAAAACGAGTCCTATATCGACATAACCTGAAAGGCCGCTCAGCAAGGAAGAAGCCACTGCTCCAAAACCGCCATAAAGAAGCCAGACTACGGTTTGCAACTGCACATGGGGACAAAGATCGTACTTTTTGGAGAAATGTCCTCTGGTCTGATGAAACAAAAATAGAACTGTTTGGCCATAATGACCATTGTTATGTTTGGAGAAAAAAGGGGAAGACTTGCAAGCCGAAGAACACCATCCCAACCGTGAAGCACAGGGGTGGCAGCATCATGCTGTGGGTGTGCTTTGCTGCAGGAGGGACTGGTGCACTTCACAAAATGGATGGCATCATGAGGAAGGAAAATGATGTGGATATATTTAAGCAACATCTCAAGACATCAGTCAGGAAGTTAAAGCTTGGTCGCAAATGGGTCTTCCAAATGGACAATGACCCCAAGCATACTTCCAAAGTTGTGGCAAAATGGCGTAAGGACAACAAAGTCAAGGTATTGGAGTGGCCATCACAAAGCCCTGACCTCAATCCTATAGAACATTTGTGGGCAGAACAGAAAAGGCGTGTGCGAGCAAGGAGGCCTACAAACCTGACTCAGTTACACCAGGTCTGTTAGGAGGAATGGGCCAAAATTCACCCAATTTATTGTGGGAAGCTTGTGGAAGGCTACCGAAAACGTTTGACCCAAGTTAAACAAATTAAATTAAAGGCAATGCTACCAAATACGAATTGAGTGTATGTAAACTTCTGACCACTGGGAATGTGATGAAAGAAATAAAAGCTAAAATAAATCATTCTCTCTACTATTATTCTGACATTTCACATTCTTAAAATAAAGTGGTGATCCTAACTGACCTAAGACAGGGAACTTTTACTAGGATTAAATGTCAGGAATTGTGAAGAACTGAGTTTAAATGTATTTGGCTAAGGTGTATGTAAACTTCCGACTTCAACTGTATATTTTGGTTAATAGTAATAGTATGTTTTCTCAGTCTGAGAATAGCCTATAAATAGAACATTTTGCATTGAACCTTTAGGTACACAATATACTGGCAGAGATGGTGATGGGAGGGATGGTGCTGGAGACCAACATGAATGAGATCATCACACAGGTGGACGCCCAAACCAAAATGGAGAAATCGGAGGTAAGAGTGGCAGTACTTCTTTCTGACTTCTCATACTCCAGGTATGTGTAGGCATGTGTGTATGCTGGAGCCTGCATGCCCTTCCAGTGCCTTTGTGATGCTCCTGACTGAGTGTTTGTGCTCTCTGGCCCTCCGCTACTGCACTGCGTCACCACACAGAATGACATTTCTCTTCCTTCTTACCCCAAAGTTATAATCATCATCACAGACACCGATTGTCTCTTCTCTGGAATCTAAATTTACACAGTGTCCAATGCATCTGCGGAATCTTGATCCTCAACAATCACACACTCATGAGATGCATTGCTCATCCAACTCTACAGACTGGACATGTCGTGTTGACGTATTTGCTTAAATGGTGAGGTGGTGGTAGCGTTTCTATGGCTGTTGAATGGTTAGTTGTGGTCATAGAGGGATGTTGAATTAACGAAATTTGACGTTGAAGTCAAAGATGTCCTGAGCTGATCTTTTAACATCTGTGAGCAGATATCTTGGAGCTGAGCATTTAATGTCTGTGATATTAAGGCCTAGACATTGCTTTGTTCTCAGATCTCTTTGAATACAGTCTCTAAATTTAATTATTCATGAAAACCGATTGTTACAGCCAGATATAATTTTATGGAATCATTGCCATTGGCAGAACAATGCCATTATGACTTTTGACAAGGTGTATTCAGATCCATCTAAATACATGACTCTGTGTGTATTTTAAATTGACACACACACAAAATATTCCAGTTAAATAAACGGATATGAAGTCAAATATTTAAGAAAAGCCACATGTATTTTCAAAGTTATTTTGAGGATATATTTTAGGTTTTGTTTGCTTACTGCACAATGTAAGGTTACATGGTGTGACTCAAAAGTCCTACGGATGTGTAACTTGCTGTTAACTTATCTTTATTTCAAATTGGTGCTGCACCCTTGGCTAACATTTACAGATTTTACCTCACTGTTGCAATTTTGCTGTATCTAACAATGGAAACCATGCTTTGGTAACAACTTTGGGCCGTATTGTGTGGTTGATTAAATGGAATCAGTAGTGTATTGTACGCCAAGTCTTTGACTGTTCAACAAACATCAGATGTGCTCCGTCTTTTCCTTCTTGGACCTACCCTAGACCGCAGTGTTCTCATAGTCATAATCATAACTTCAACACTAATTCAGAGCCATAAAGAATGACGTAAACAAAATACATTCCTAGTAGTGTGTAAAAAAAAAATGTTAAGTCAATACAAATTGGTGAAGAATGATAGGCTGGATTTAGTTCACTTTAACATGCTCAACCAGCTCATCAGTATGAAACAGCAGAAGTGTTGCTATGCCTTTGGAGGTGTTGAGGCCTCTCTCAGTGCAGTCTATGAATGCGGTCTACGATAGGTCTTATCACTTTCAATTTATATATACTGTAATTAATTTGATCTGCTTTAACAACATTCCTCATTCCTCTTTTCCCCTGACCCTTTCTAGTTCTTTCCATTCTTCTCTCTTTACAGACATTTATCTTTCAGTCTCCCAGACAGGACAGGTAGACACAGGTACTGCTAAATTTCCAACCAAGTACTGTAACTTCCCAAATTTATTTACACTATCCGTAGTTCTCCATAGGCCGACCACTTAATAACAAAACGACATCACTAACATCAAAATCTTTTTACAGCAGACCCTAAAATGTATCAATGGTACTTCAAAAGAGCAATGAAACCACATATTACTTGGCTATTTAGGAAATTGGTATGGCGATAGTAAATATTTTCATCATTGGGATGTTTTTAATGAAAGGCCCAATGCAGCTGTTTTTATCTCCAATATAAAACCATTTCTGGGTAACAATTAAGTACCTTACTGTGATTTTCTTTCAATTAAAATGGTAAAAAATAAACAAATTGCTAAGAAGCTAAGAGCAATTTCTCAAGCAAGAATTTTGCTAGGACTGTCTGTGTGGGGAGGGGAAAACCTGAAAAATACCTATTATTGGCAGAGAGGTTTGACACTCTTTTTTATTGGTCTATCAACTAATTTACCACCTGGTGATTTCACCAGGCAGGCCAAAACTGTATCCCACCAAAACAGACAGCGCTTTTGTCTTTTCACACCGCTCTTACACTAAAAGGGCATTATCATAATTTTCACAATTTCACAGTATTATTCTAACCTCATAGTGTGGAAATATATACAGTTGAAGTCGGAAGTTTACATACACTTAGGTTGGAGTCATTAAAACTCGTTTTTCAACCACTCCACAAATTTCTTGTTAACAAACTATAGTTTTGGCATGTCGGTTAGGACATCTACTTTGTGCATGACACAAGTCATTTTTCCAACAATTGTTTACAGACAGATTATTTCACTGTATCACAATTCCAGTGGGTCATTAGTTTACATACACTAAGTTGACTGTGCCTTTAAACAGCTTAGAAAATTCCAGAAAATGATGTAATGGTTTTAGAAGCTTCTGATAGGCTAATTTCACATTCTTAAAATAAAGTGGTGATCCTAACTGATTTAAGACAGGGAATTGTTATTAGGATTAAATGTCAGGAGTTGTGAAAACTAAGTTTAAATGTATTTGGCTAAAGAGTATGTAAACTTCCGACTTAAACTGTATATAACACAGGAAAATCATGTTTTTGATATTGCACCAATACCAAAGCTGTGCAAGCTAGGCTTAGCAATAAAGAAGCATTTGTCAATAAATGCAGGTGGCCAGCTGTAGCTAGCTGCCCTAGAGGAAGACGTACAATGATACTGTCCGTGCACCTGTGTTGTCTGGCACTGGGTTTGTTTCCGTAACAGAGATGTGTCGTCGCTGAAAATTCAAGTCGCACCTCGCTAGGTTGCTAGCCAAACACAACACACAAGCATGCTGTTGCTGTGTCTCGACTGGTCCTTTGTCACCACTCTCTGCTTTGCTGCCCTATAGATTTCATCAGACTACTTTTATGACACGCGTAAACCACTGTTTACGTATCTGAAATGTGCTTTCCCCCCCTGGTTTGAGACACATCAGTGTTTTATTAATCAACAGACCATCTTCCAAGCCAGTGGTTTGGTTTCCCAGGCAGACACAGCTTAGTGCTTAGTACACACCAGTAATGCCTCTATGGGGAGACCTGTGGAACGTAGTACAGTGTGATTTTTAACATAGCTATGTGTGACTGAGTACTTGACCAGAAACCTAGGCCTTTGGGCAACCAGCTAGGAGCAAGTCTAATTTGTCTCCCTTGAGTTGTCACAAAGTGTAGGCTACATAATTTAGTTGACTAGTTGCCAAGGTCAGTAAAAGCCCAGGGTTCTTCACGTTTTGAAGTACAGTAGCCACTCTGTATTGCCGCTCAACTTGATGGCAGCAAACTGTATGAAGGACACACTTGAACTGACCCTGTGTGCACAATTATAGAGGATGAAATGAAAATCATGTGCGCATATCTGTTATCGATTCCAATGACTGCCTATAATACAGAAAAATGTCTGAACCAGTTATTTAGACATAAAAGCTACTGATTGCTACTGTTTCATATTTGCAAACCTTCCTATGGTAGTTCTCTAAAAGAGATGCCTAGTTAAACTCATTTTCAGAACTAGAAACTTTAGCCTATTAACTGAAAGTCTAGAAGCTGGTTGAATCTTAATTTTTGGGTTCGACTGTTCAAGATTCAGTGGGTGGATCTCTAACAGCAGTGATTTTCAAATGCAATCTAGAGATCAACATGTTATCCATAGGAAATGTGAATTCACAATGTCAATTAGTTATTTTTGTCAGAATTTACACTATTGACATTTCAATCAATTTGTTTTGCATCTCAAATTACACATTGTACAAAACGTTAGGAACACCTTCCTAATATTGAGTTGCACCCCTTTTTGCCCTCAGAACAGCCTCAATTCATCAGGGCATGGACTCTACAAGGTGTCGAAAGCGTTCCTCAGGGATGCTGGCCCATGTTGACTCCAATGCTTCCCACAGTTGTCAAGTTGGCTGGATGTCCTTTGGGTGGTGGACCATTCTTGATACACATGGGAAACTGTTATGTGTGAAACCCAGCAGCGTTGCTGAATGGCACATATACACAATCTGTGTCTCAAGGCTTAAAAGTCCTTCTTTAACCTACACTGATTTGAAGTGGATTTAACAAGTGACATCAATAAGGGATCATAGCTTTCACCTGGTCAGTGTATGTCATGGAAAAAGCAGGTAAACCTAAGGTTTTGTACACTCGGTGTATATTGGATAATGTTTTTGTTTGGTTTTATATTGAACAATGCTTTGAAATTCACTGCTTTAGTGTGTTACCTCCGTTTTCTTCAGTATGCCATAGAGTAGACCCATTTTTGTGATGCAGTATTACAACAATTCCCCACATGGATGATGTCAATAGGTAATACCATGGAAATAACTCTCACAACATTGAATAGCTGTCGCTATAATCTTTTATGTACATTTTAATAATCAAACATTAGATTGAACATAGTCATATTTTACAAACACTGAACCTTGTCACCCCCATTACAAACAAGTCAGCCCTGTTAACCTAGTCTCCCCCGATACAACTAGTAAGTCCTTACCTCAGTGTGTGTACAGTTTCCACTGAGTTGTTACAGTTCTAATATATTAGAGTACAGTGCATTCGGAAGTATTCAGACCCCTTGACTTTTTCCACGTTTTGTTACGTTACAGCCTTTGGCAGCGATTACAGCCTGGAGTCTTCTTGGGTATGACACTACAAGTTTGGCACACCTGTATTTGGGGAGTTTCTCCCATTCTTCTCTGCAAATCCTCTCAAGCTCTGTCAGGTTGGATGGGGAGCGTCGCTGCACAGCTATTTTCAGGTCTCTCCAGAGATGTTCAATCAGATTCAAGTCCGGGCTCTGGCTGGGCCACTCAACGATATTCAGAGACTTGTCCCAAAGCCACTCCTGCATTATCTTGGTTGTGTTCTTAGGGTCGTTGTCCTGTTGGAAGGTGAACCTTCACCCCAGTCTGAAGTGCTGAGCGCTCTGGAGCAGGTTTTCATCAAGGATCTCTCTGTACTTTGCTCCATTCATCTTTCCATCGATCCTGACTAGTCTCCCAGTCCCTGCCACCCCCATGCTTCACCATAGGGATGTTGCCAGGTTTCCTCCAGAGTTCAATCTTGGTTTCATCAGACCAGAGGATCTTGTTTCTCATGGTCAGAGTCCTTTTAGGTGCTCCAAGCGGGTTGTCATGTGCCTTTTACTGAGCAGTGGGTTCCGTCTGGCCACACTACCATAAAGGCCTGATTGGTGGAGTGCTGCAGAGATGGTTGTCCTTCTGGAAGGGTCTCCCATCTCCACAGAGGAACTCTGGAGCGCTGTCAGAGTGACCATTTGGGTTCTTGGTCACCTCCCTGACCAAGGACCTTCTCCCCTGATTGCTCAGTTTGGCCGGACGACCAGCTCTAAGAAGAGTCTTGGTGGTTCCAAACTTCTTCCATTTAAGAATGATGGAGGCCACTTTGTTCTTGGGACCTTCAATTCTGCAGATTTTTTTGGTACCCTTCCCCGATCTGTGCCTTGACACAATCCTGTCTCGGAGCTCTACGGACAATTCCTTCGACCTAATGGCTTGGTTTTTGCTCAGACATGCACTGTCAACTGTGGGACCTTATATAGACTAGGGCTGTTATGGTGACCGTATTACCGCCACACTGACGGTCATGAAGGCAGTCATATTCCACGTAACCGTTTAGTCACGGTAATTAGGCTTCTCCAAGCTCTGATGCTGCTGATGGTCATCAATGCAAATGTAATCAAATCTAATCAAACACTCATGAGAGCTCATGTTGCGCAACATTTCTATCCAAATAGTCTGGGTAGCCTTGATTAGCTGTTCAGGGGTCTTTATGGCTTGGGGCTAGAAGCTGTTAAGAAACCTTTTGGACCTAGACTTGGCGCTCCGGTACCGCTTGCCGTGCGGTAGCATAGAGAACAGTCTATGACTAGGGTGGCTGGAGTCTTTGACAATTTTTAGGGCCTTCCTCTGACACCGCCTGGTATAGAGGTCCTGGATGGCAGGAAGCTTGGCCCCAGTGATGTACTGGGCCGTACCCTCTGTAGTGCCTTGCGATCGGAGGCCGAGCAGTTGCCATACCAGGCAGTGATGTAACCAGTCAGGATGCTCTCTGGTGCAGCTGTATAACTTTTTGAGGATCTGAGGACCCATGGCAAATCTTTTCAGTCTCCTGGGGGAATATGCTTTCTCGTGCCCTCTTCACGACTGTCTTGATGTGTTTGGACCATGATAGTTTGTTGGTGATGTGGACACCAAGGAACTTGAAGCTCTCAACCTGTTCCACTACAGCCCATTTCAATGAGAATGGGGGCATGCTCAGTCCTCTTTTTTTCCTGTAGTCCACAATCATCTCCTTTGTCTTGGTCACATTGAGGGAGAGGTTGTTATCCTGGCACCACACTGCCAGGTCTCTGACCTCCTCCCTATAGGCTGTCTCATCGTTGTCGGTGATCAGGCCTACCACTGTTGTGTCGTCCGCAGACTTGATGGTGTTGGAGTTGTTCCTGGCCATGCAGTCATGGGTGAACAGGGAGTACAGGAGGGGACTGAGCACCCACCCCTGAGGGGCCACCGTGTTGAGGATCAGCGTGGCAGATCAGCGTGGAGGCGGCCCGTCAGGAAGTCCAGGTTCTAAATCAAAACAAATATAACATATTATTTAGTATATGTAAAGACTAAGATTAAATCAAGAGTAGTGTGATGGGTGACAATATTAGCCTATCACTTGTGAATCATATATTACCACTTGTGAATGATATTTTTCAAATCAGGATCACACACCTCATGTAGCCTAGCCCATAGGCCTATATGTTTTGATAAGGTTTCTATCACAACTAAAGTGGCCAAATAACTTCTTAAAATTAACCACATTCAGGCTCTACACCCCTTGTAAAGCGGATTGGCATACGTAAGTAGCGCGTGAGTTTCATGTTTGGGGAAGATAATTTTCACCATAAAAATGCACCTTTTGTAATAAAAGCATTACATGCATAATCGCATTTGCGGTCACTTTTGATAATGGTGTTTTCCCGCTAATGGAACATTTGCGCTTATAGCCTACTGCTGTGTGCTCATTGCTGTGCTTATAAGGTGAAGAAATAGCCTAACAGTTTAGCTTAAAATGTTAATAAACTATTAGATCTGTTGCGTCAGTCTCATTGCTTAAAAACCTTTTTTTGATGCTAGTGGTTGCATTAATTTGGGATCTATCGCATCCCACAACTGTCCCAGACTATGTTTGGAATATTTATTTCTCGCACAGAATAGGTCAACTTTTGTAGTATGGGGGATAGTATATTGACATAGTCTAGTGCTTTTGCTTTACGTTAGGCCTACTCATCTTGTTGGCTGACGAAAAGTAAATGTGGACAGTTCTTCCAAATTCTTCAATATGCACCTTGGAATTGGATAATGATTTGGGCAGTTTTTGTCCACGATGTGTCAGTCTTCACTTGTAGCCTGTGAGAAAGAACCGATCACGTGATGGAGAGCCATGTGAGTGAGAGGTGTCTAAAATACATAATGGATTTATTGTGTAGGTGTAGGCTATATTACATGGATTTATTAGACTTTTTAAAATGTAGATTTTCCAAAGGTCTGCATCAGTGGCTTGTAGGCTATGTGTGGAAGCCAGGAGATGCTAAATGTGTTTAATTAACGGTCAGTTACCGTGAGACCGGCAGGTATTTGCTTGACAATCACCGGCTGACAAGATTTTGTGACCGCCACAGCCCTAATATAGACGGGTCTGTGCCTTTCCAAGTCATGTCAATCAATTGAATTTGCCACAGGTCGACTCCAATCAAGTTGTAGAAACATCTCAAGGATGATCAATGGAAACAGGATGCACCTGAGCTCAATTTCTAGTCTCGTAGGAAAGGGTCTGAATACTTATGTAAAGAAGGTATTTATGTTTTTAATACATTTGCACACATTTCAAAAAAACTTTTTTTGCTTTGTCATTTTGGGGTATTGTGTGTGTTGTGTGATGAGGGGAAAAAAATATTTAATCGATTTTAGAATAAGGGTGTAACGTACCAAAATGTGGAAAAAGGGAAGGGGTCTGAATACTTTCCGAATGCACTGTATATCCTTGGAAAGTTCCTAAAGTTTTTTATCCAATTTCAGTAAAAGTCTGTTTATTGTACTTTAGGAATGGCTAGAAAAAGGACTACGAAACCATTCTGAATTGTCATAATGGTGTTATATTTCACAGAGAACGATTTTAATCTGTAAGAAATGTTCACATAAATACAGTATATGTAAGTAAGTAGCTAAATAAATCTTAGTGTAATGTGATATAATTTCCATTAGGCCATCTGAAATTGCGCTAGTTCGTTCCTCTTTCCTAGGACACATAAATGAGACATTTCACTTCAGTCACATGTTCAAATTAGGTTTTCGAAATTCTATAAACATTCTATACATATCTATAGCTTCATTTCCTTCTCATATCAAATTCAATTTTTTTTTCTGTTTCACCCAATTCTCTCCTTGCATTTTTATCCTTATCAGTCCTCAAGAATTTGGTGGGTTCACTTTTCAAGCAATGCTGCCTCCATCTTTTAAAAGTCAATATTATTGAATATTTCAACATCTATGAATGTAGCACTATGTTACCAGTTGATTCATAATTGGCTCTGGTTGTGATGTAAATCATAAATTAACCAAATAATGCATGTGCATATGAAGCTAGGCATTTGAATGTACATTTGCACACATCTGTTAATAGTCGATGCTTTGCATTTTGTCTGTTGGTGACTGTCTCCGTATAGTGCTTTGTATTTAGTACTGTGGGGTTGTGTGTCCCTGTGGTGTTGTGTGTCCCAGTGTCTGGTTGTGTGACAGTTGTAATGTGCAATATGTTTGTAAGCGTTTCTGGTGACTCTTAACTCTGTGTGTTTTGTGTGTAGGCTGGGATTGCAGGTGCACCTGCTCGTGCTGTATCTGCCGTAAAGAACATGAACCTCCCCGAAATGCCCAGAAACATCAACATTGGAGACATCAGCATAAAAGTGCCAAACTTACCCTCCTTCAAATAGCGGCAAGACCCACTGTGCAGAAGTTGACCAATGTTTACGATGCAATTTGTTTACGAAAATCAAAACAAAGATCATGAAGGTACTGTGTGAATTCCTTTGGCGTTAACTCTTTTTTTTTGTTTCCTTGTTTTAAATGAATGTCATTGATGTGGCTTGTTTGAGAGAATTAATTATTTATTTATTACATTCCTCTACCCTCACTGGAGGTGTGCCCTTATGTCTTGGCTGCTACAGTATTTGAAAATCATACCTTAGTAGTGGTTTGTAAAACAAACTGAACAGAATATTCTTATATACAATATGATGGTTATTCTGAAATTGTATTTTTTTTCTTGTCTGTATACAGTGTTTTAAATTATCTTGTCTTATCAAATCATTTTCTCTTGATTTTAATCAGTGTTTGAGAGTTTTTTTTTCTCCTTTTTGCAACTCAATAAAGTATTGAATCATTTAATGCCTATGTGTTTGCATTGAACCTGGTTTCATACTATACAATTGTGTAATAGTGCAGGATAGGTTTTCTGAAAGAAGAGCAAGTTGGACCGCTGTTGATCCAAGTAGCTTGCATCTTATGGACAGTAAATATCCCATGATTGAAACTTTTTGCAATGCAATTAATAATTGATTCACAACGTATTGTAGTTTACACTTATTAGGTTCAGTTTGGCCATCACGTGTTCCAGTGAAAGCACAGCTGATAATGGCACATGACCGCTTTAGGACGTCTCCTTTTCTAATATCTCTGCTCTTGCGCAGCTTTTACACAACAAAATTAGTAAAAATGTACTTTCTTTCATAGCCGGTTCTATGAAAAGCGGTAATATAAGACCATAGATGACAATGTCCTATTCAGTTGATTTCTGGAGCTGGAGAGCCACATGGCGGAAGTTAAATTGTCAGTCAGCAAGATGGCAGAACTGGCGGGTTTTCCTTCACACCGCTCGACCAGAACAGACGTCACGGCGACGGGGATGTCGACGTCACCGCGTGCGGAAATGGCTGGGCCTGCTTATGTAAACAGAGATGGCGGCGCCCTATTGCCATTAGCCACGGTAGCGGCTAAACTTCCAAAGTTCAATGGACAAGGTAAATGGCAAGTTTTTTTCACTCAATTCGAGTTGTTGGCTAGAGCCGGGAGATGGTCTGACGAGACGAAAGCGTTACAGCTTGCCCTGAGCCTGGCAGAGGAGGCGTTGGAATGCCTGCTAACGCTAGCCCCGGACGAGAGGGGCGACTACGGTGTGCTAGTGGAGGCATTGGGGGGCCGTTTCGGCAGCGATGCGCAGCCCAACATGCTGCGGATTGAACTGAGTAACAAAAAGAGACTTCAGGGGGAATCATTAAAGGCTTTGGCAAGTGGAATTCTGAGCCTGACCAGGCGGGCTTATGCAACTATGCCGATTGGGGTGCAAGACGAGCTGGCACGGGACAGTTTAATTAGAGCGCTCTCTTCCACCGAACTGGGTAAGCATGTTCAGATGGCGGACCCACCATCTCTGCGGGCTGCAGTGGAGATGGCCAGGAAGAGGGAGCTGATCTGGGGTGGCATCGACACTGGGGACGCCCGACCCATTAAAATTCGGCCCGTCGTATTCCCCTTGCCAAGAGGGAAGCAGCAGACACAGCTATTGCTGACATGTTGCGGGCTGATTTCATTGAGCCATCAGATAGCCCATGGTCCGCGCCGGTCGTCATGATGCCTAAGAAAGGGGGTAAACTTAGGTTTTGTGCTGACTACAGGGGCCTAAATTCTGTCACCACTAAAGACTCTTACCCCCTACCGAGGATCGATGAGTCGCTAGACCACGTCAGAGGGTCCTCGTGGTTCTCCTCCCTTGATCTGCGCAGTGGCTACTGGCAGGTGCCCCTCTCGCCTGGGGCACGTGAAAAAACTGCCTTCTCCACAGATAGGGGCCATTGGCAGTTCAAGGTGCTGTGCTTCGGGCTCTGTAATGCTCCTGCCACCTTTGAGAGGCTCATGGACAGAGTGCTGGCGGGGGTTCCGAGAGACGAGTGTGTCGTGTACCTAGACGACATATTGGTGCACGGCACATCGTTTGAGGGGGCACTGGGGTCACTTAGGTGAGTGTTGGAGAGGATCTCGGGGGCGGGGCTAAAATTACACCCGGAAAAGTGCCATTTCATGCAAAGGGAGGTGGCGTTCCTGGGTCATCAGCTGGGTGGTGAGGGCATCAGCACGATGACTGGGGGTAGACATAGTGGGGCCGTTTCCAACCACAGACAGCGGTAACAGGTGGATTCTAACTGCTATGGACTACTTCACCAAGTGGCCAGAGGCTTACGCTCTCCCAGACCAGGAGGCAGAAACAGTAGCTGATGCGTTGGTAGGGGGAATAATCAGTCGGTTTCGGGTGCCACAGTCTATACACCGCGACCAGGGGAGAAACTTTGAGTCACGGGTGTTCTCAGAGTTGTGTAGACGGTTAGGCGCGGAGAAGACGCGCACTACTCCGCTTCACCCCCAGAGTGATGGGCTGGTGGAAAGATTTAACAGAACATTAGCACAACAGCTGGCCATCGTTACCTCAAAACACCAGAGAGATTGGGACATCCCACTTACTGTTTATTCTCATGGCATGTAGGTCGGCTGTTCAAGAATCGACTGCGTGCTCCCCAGCGCTACTAATGTTAGGTTGTGAGTTGCGCACCCCAGCCGAACTGACATTTGGCCACCCTCCTGATAACGACAACGGGGTTTTGCCTGGCCCGAACTATGTTCGTCGTCTGCAGAACCGGTTAGAAGCGGCTCGAGAACGCAGGGATGCGCCAAAAGTGCCACTATGACTCACGCGCTAGGGGGAGGCACTTTGGAGCGGGAGAACGCATGTGGCTTCACAACCCCACGCGCAAGAAGGGCCGGTGCCCAAAGCTGGACAGTGCCTGGGTGGGGCCGTGTCTGGTGATAGAGAGAGTGGGGGAGGTGACGTACCGGGTGGAGGTTCCCCCACGGAGCAGGAAGGTGGTGGTCCACCGGGACCGATTGGCGCCCTACAGAGGGAGGAAAACGGAAGGGAATGGAAGTGAGGACTCTGATGTGAGCCCACGGGGACAGTCTAATGAGGAGACTCTAGCGCAACCTGAACCTGGGGCGGGGGCTGCCTCTTCGGAGGGCGCTGGAAATGACATTGGGGCAGATGAGTGTTCTGGGGGTCCACCGGTGAGAGTCACGGGGAGGCACAAGAGACTGATGCGACCTCCGGGTCGTTTTAAGGATTTTGTTTTGTAACCCTAGGGGCTAGGGTTTAGAAAGGGGGGGGGCTATGTAACGACCCGGTATTGTGTTTTGTGTTCTGTGTTCGTGGGTGTGTTATTGTTCTCATGGGTGCTAGCAGGGGTTAAATATGCCAGGACAGATGGAAAGGTTGGGGGGGTATGATGGGTAATCCCGCGGGGTTTTGAATTGCATAAATAGGGGTTACTGTCTCATCTCTCTCTCTTCTGTTCGGGACCCTTAACTTGACATGTTATATTTGTGTACGTTCGGGATTTAGCGGCGTGGGCTGTGGCCTGAACAATAGCCCCATTTAGGAATAAACCTGTGTTCTGCCCTGTACACCTGGTGCCGTCTTTCTTTTCCTTTATGACCCAGCTGGGTCATTACAATATGTTGAAATGACGATATCACTGGAGTCATTGCAAATCAATGTTCCACTTGTGTATCCTACCTGGAGCTGGCAAACCAATTTAATAAATAGCCTATAACTTCAGTTTGTTGTTGTAGTCTTGTGTTATTATGCAATTATTAATGGACATGTTTAGTTAATTAAATTGGAAGTTATCAAAGCTCTATCGCAATTGCCAATCAGTTGTTAGAATGCATTAGATTGACTGTAACCGTAGTCAGATTAGACTACGTTCATTTTCCATCTTTCCTAAACTACTGTAGACTATCTGAAATGAGATGTAGGGGCTATAGGATACCTGCCTTTATCCAAGCAAACCATGGCAATGTTGAATTACAATCATAAACCCAGATTTTAGTCTGTAGCCTATGCTTATTCTCAATCTCGCAAATGGGACCATTGATAATGGTTTGTAGTCTTAACATCTGGCACAATTGCCAGAAAATAGCCTAACATTCGGTTTTTTAAAGTTCTTCCAAGTGTTTCTTGCTCAGAGATTTCGAGATCCTCTGTCCAACTTTAATCACTCAAACTCTACTGTCGGATTTATCTATAGTTATGCACATGCGCAAAGGGATTTATTTACATTTATAAACCTGGTTCGAGCCCTGAATGCTGATTGTCTGAAAGCCGTGGTATTTCAGACCATATACCACTGGTATGACAACAAATACTTTCTACTGTTCTAATTACTTTGGTAGCCAGTTTATAATGGCAATAAGGCACCCCAGGGGGTTTGTGGTATATGGCCAATATACCACGGCTAAATCCAGTCACTACGCATTGCGTCAAGCTTAAGAACAGCCCTTAGCCGTGGTATATTGGCCATATACCATACCCCCTTGTGCGTTATTGCTTAATCATAACAGTCAAACTAGTTAAATCGACATCCATTGATGGAAAATGATCTGGCGAGTTTAATAATGGCAAATTATATTTTCTCTTGCGACATATTCAAATTCCTTTATTACGTCATGTCTTTTGAGGAAAAACACATTTTGCTTCTAACATCTTTACAAGTTACTACGGCATTCCGACCATAAGGCACTACAGAGGGTAGTGCGTACAGCCCAGTACATAACTGGGGCCAAGATTCCAGCCATCCAGGACCTACAGTGCATTCGGAAAGTATTCAGACCCCTTGACTTTTTCCACATTTTGTTACATTACAGCCTTATTCTAAAATTGACTACATTTATGTTTTTCCTCATCAATCTACACACAATACCCCATAATGACAAAGCAAAAACAGGTTTTTAAATTTTTTTGCTAATTAATTAAAAATATAAAACAGATATCACATCCTGTCTCCGAGCTCTACGGACAATTCCTTCGACCTCATGGCTTGGTTTTTGC